AGAGGGAACTTCATTTCAACTCTGCAGGGCACTTTTTTCCTGTTTGCATTCCTGATCAGCATTCCTTCTCGGCTGGTATAAGAAGTCTCTGACTTCAGTGGAGTTTCACTGATTTGGGCTAATTGAGTGTCTAACCCTGTGCATGTGATGGAGGATAACTAACTCACAAATGAGCATGGGAAATCTCGTAGTCGTAACCAGATGGAGAGGCTGACTGATGCTCAGGTCCGTAGGAACGTGGCCAAGCCCTGAGGCCTCTTCTCATAGCTGGAATGTTAATATTGATAGGCAGCTATCTATGTAGGAGAGAGTGAGAACAGGAAGAAAAGGTGGAGGAGTGCTGTGATATGTGGTGAGTGTTTATGAAACCAGTGGGACATGGCTTGATAAGCAAGAGTGCAATGTGGAAATGTGCTGGGTAAGGGCACAAGGAGTGGGTAACAACAGAGCTGAAAGTAGACTTGGAAGCAGCTGAATCAGTAAGTGCTCTGTCTTGTATTTGGGGCACACAGTTTCAGAGACTGTAGTTGGGGGAGGAGGAGTAATGGTCACACTAAGTGAATAAGCAACTATAAGACTTGCAGAAATCAAATATGCTTTTGAGAGTTGGTCAATCACTTCAGGGGTCAAAAAGGGATCCCAACCCCCTCAACTGTGTCACAAGTTATAGGTGCTGCACATGTATGAACCTACCACTGTCGCCCGCTGCTATTCATTAGCTTCTCTCATTCAGGGGGATTTGCCTGGAACTGAACTTCCATTAGACCCCAGACTCCAAGGTTTTACCAGATGCTGCCATTCTGGCTGAGCTCTGTGGAAACCCAGAAGTGAGACCTCATTCAAAGAAAAGCTGTGCCTGTAAATTCTGAGCTGTGACCCATACCCTGGTGCTTAGATCAGGGGCTGGTGAGGAAGGATGCTCTTCCAGGCTTTGAACTGCTCACAGGCCCACAGAAGTGGGAAAACAGCTTGCCTCTGGAGAAGCTTTGAGCAATTCAGCCTGAACTGTTCTGGTGCTGATGTGACTGGAGAGCCCTCCCAGCACTGGCTCATAGTGCCCTGATCACAGAAGAGGGCTTGAATAGTGGAAAAGGCAGGGAGCTGTCAGATCTACTCCGTAGACAGATTACTCCTTTGGCAAACTTCCTAGCTAGTTTTCCTGCTGGAGGCTCCTATGGCTGTTGGCCTGAACTCTCTGGCCGTGCCTCCCACCAACCCCTGATAACCCCCCGGCTCCAACTCCACTCCTAACCCAGCAATCCAGCTGTGGGGCACTGGCTGTGAACATCTGCCTTCCCCAGGAATGGGGATGCAAGGAACCACAACATAGCCATGGGAGGCAGTTATGGGGCTGAAGGCTCTGCTGAAACCTCTCCTTTGCAGCTTAGAGGCCTTTTGAGAGGTAGATACTGTTTCTGCTCCTAGTGGCATTTCTAGCACTTACTCCATGACTGGTTTGCTTCATGGCATGCATGGGAGGGCCCAGAGCAGATTTCAACTGTATTGCTTGTCCACAGCACAACTTGCCTCCTTGTTGCCTAGCATGGTAGGCTGGGAGGTGGTAGCAGTCACAAAGATGTGGTTGGAGAGGGTTTCCCCAGCTGTGCACCTGCTCTTCCTGCTGTTGGGGCCCTCTCCAGACTATCTTCCTCTACCATCTGACCCACCTGAGCTCAGGCAGCTATTCTAAATGTCTTCCTATACCCTGAAACTCATCCCCAGCTTGTGCCCACATAGAATCATAGAAAATGGATAAGCTTGAGAGAGTCCAGAGGAGAGCAACCTGTATGATCAAAGGCCAAAAGAGTAAGCTTTACAAGGAGAGGCTGAGGAACATGGAACTCTTCAGCCTGGCAAAGACAAGAATCAGGGGGGACTTGGTGGCAGCCTAGAAGTATATAAGGGGGATGCATCAGGATCTGGGAGAGCACTTGTTCACTGGGGCTCCCCAGAGGTCTAATGGCCACAAACTTCTACAAGCCTGATTTTTTTTAGATTCAGTATAAGGAAAATCTTCTTTACAGTCCAAGTGTCCCAGGTGTGGAACAAACTCTTTCTCTGCCCCCCCCCCCC